GTGAAACAAACATTGTAAGGGGCCATTGCTTCAATCGAAGCTTACATGCAGAGGCCACTTGCTTTGGGGCACTAGCATGAAGAGTAATTTATGCCTTGTGAACTTGGCAAATCATGCAAAACATTGTTTTCTGAGTCGATGGAAAGCTACAGGAGGCCATTGCTTTGTGACTCCAAGCAAACATGCAAGAGGTCTTTGCTCAAACAAAAGCTTGCATGAAGAACCAATGTCCACTCAAAACTTGCCTGCAAGAGGTCATATGGACAAACAAAAGATGTAACATAAACTTACATTTGAAGCAAACCACAAACCCAAATGAAAGATGCATGCATGAGGTCCCTGCTTTGTGAATAAAAGGAAACTTTAAGAAGGCCATTGCCTTCTGAATTGAAGGAATCTTTTAGAAGGCAATTTTACTCTGAATCGAAGGGGAACCAGTATGAAGCCACTACTTTCTGAATCGAAGGACACCAATAGGAGTTCCTTCCCATTTGAATCGAAGGAGGCTGTTTCAAAGGGAAACAAATGTCCAGTCAAAGCTTGTATGAAGATATGTGTTGTTCTTGTGAGTCGAAAGCCAGTTGTTTTAAGGGGTACTTTGCCCAGTCAGAGTTAGCATGAAGATAGCCAATGCCCTGTGGGTGCTAATATAAACGCTAGCCATAGTGAAGCTTCTTCCTTGTGTACTCTGACATGTTGGGAACCCCTTGCTCTGAATTGAAGCATGCAGGAAAGATGTTATTGCTCAATCAAAGACTACATGTAGATAGCTAATTCTTTATAAATCAAAGCAAGCATGTCAGAGGCCAATGCCCAATCGAAGGATGTAAGCTAGCTTGCATCGAAAGAGACCAAAAACCCAATCGAAGGATGTGAAATTGAAACAAGCATGCTCTTCTTTGATTGGATGCTTGAAAACCCACTTGTACTCTTGCCAATTTGAACTTTTGAAAATCATTGTAAGGAAATGCCTTTAGAAATGAGAGGGAAAATTTTGGGGTACGACAAAAATACAACACTAAACACCCATTAGTTCACTGGGAATAACTCCAAGTACCCTGAACTAGTCACATAACCAACACACCTCTGATTCATGCCCTTGCACCTTATCATGAATCTTTGGATGGCTAAGATGTCATGCAACCATAGTCTGAAACCAACTTCCAACCATTTCTTAGTGTGCTTAAAAGCTTTACTAAGATTCAAACTCTCCAACAGAAGGAGTACCCCTTAACCAATGTGCTGATTAAATCCTCCCTTCTGCATATTACTAGTATTTCCTGACACTAGTAAAGTCTTCAAGCCAAGATAGTAGTTATACATTACTTGAGCATACTTCTCCTTCAATCAGAATCCCCTTATTCAACACCATAGACAGAATTGCCACTAATGAGTGTGGAGTTTGAATATTGAGATTCATAGTTCCAAGTATCTTTAATAGACTATCATAAAAAATGATGTTCCAACATCATTTGATACATCAACAACATTAACATAGAGCTTATCAACTTTGGTTCTATAAACATCATCCAAGGGACTTATTTCCGTCCATGCCCTTTAACAAACTCTCCATTCTCACAAGAGGATCTCACAATGTCTCACAACAGAAATATTCTCTCACTATATTATGTAGTAAGCTTCTCACACTAGGTAAAACTGACAACTCTCTTCTTCACACCTGTGATACTTATTGAATCTTCGACAATACATCCAATCATGGCAGCCAAAACATTCCAAGTTAGGCTAGTGACTTGACCTTAAGCTAAACCCTTGGAGAACACATAATATACTAGCTTCTACTGACTAGAACCACATAGACCCAACAGGGGCATAGACAGCTACACCTAGTAGCCACATGTCACAACACGTTGCCTGTAATTTTCAAAAGCTTGAATTACACGCAAGCTCCATAACTACTACAACAATAACCATATATATGTTCTAAGCTCCCCATATCACGGACGAACAAGGCTTCTGCTGAGGATGAACACTTGGACACCAGAAGACAAACAAGAGATTTCACGCACTCACTGAAACATATCAACACTCTTATGAAAATAACTCATCCTGAATCCAATATACCAACTCCAGGTCTTCGGATTTTTACAAGGTCATGTCTGATACAAGGTCATGTATAATTTTTTTTGGGTGGAGACTTATAATCAATAGAATCCCCACCAAAGACCAATTGATTTATCGAGGAGTATGGTTGGATAATACTTGTGTTTTTTGTCGTTCAAATGCCAAAACCGTAACCCACCTCTCCGGCCTTTGTTAGATATCGATTATAGTTTGGAATAAGGTGTATGTCTGGATTTGTAGTAGTTTAGAGTTATTGTCGCTGGAGTTGGTATATTTTTTCCTCTATTGCGAGAAAGTGAAGAAGAATCGGAGAGGAAAATCATCACCATCATTGGCTGGCTACAGGTTAGAGCATTTGGTTGGCGCGTAACGTGATCATTTTTAGGGATGAGGCTTTCAATTTCAACGAGGTTTTGTCAGCGATAGTTTTTAGATCTTGGAAGTGGATGTTTCCTTCTCGTAATATAGTCGTTGGTTGTAATTTTTTTGTTTGGAATACTCTTCATCTCCTTTGTTTTAGGGAGTAGGGATTTTCTGTTTTCTTGTCTCGCATGGAGTATCCCTTATACTCCCTTTTAATAGTATCATTGCCTATTAAAAAAAACGTATCCAAAGACTTGACAAAAATAAAGAAGTTTGAAAATTTGTTGTGCGGATCATTGAATTATGGGTTGCAAGATCATAGAAGGGAGACGGTCATGTAGAGTTTGTGATGCAGGATGTGAAAGTAAGATTGAGTTCTAATTTGTTTCTTCAATCACACTATGTAATTTCAATAGTTTCTTAGTGAATTATTATCTTTTTGCAGGGAGGTAGAATCCAAATGCAGGCGCAGGAACCGTTGCTCGCCTTGTCGAAGTAACTGAGGGTGGTACTTCATCATTGTTAGGAGGATTTTGATTACTTGGATGACTTTGGTTTGCCATTTTCCTAACGTACTTTGTTTTGGGTATTTCCTTGTTGTTTGTGACTAATTTAGCACTTCTAAGTCTCATGCAACGAAGAATAGTACATGAAAGATATGAAGATTTTCAATAATTTTTCACAAGAGCAAGAAAATATTTTTAATTGAACACGGTCCCACCAGGTGTGCCAATTTGTTTACCGTGAAAATTAGTAAACAAGTGCTAGTCTTCTAAAAACAACAAAAAAGTCTTTAGTTACTCACATGATCGACTAGATTGATCCTAGGACATGTGTTCTAATTTAAATATTGTTCTTGGAAAGGAAGAATACTTCAACAAAATTCATAATTCTTTTGAAAAAAATGTTGGTTTCGATTTAAATGACTTTCTAAAGTGAAACTTGCGAAACTTGTAAAGAAAGTAAGATAAAAGCAATCGAAAGTAAATTATTAAAAATAGATTTTATTAAAATAAAAGGGTGTTTACACGTACATTTCTCAAATGACTCTTTTCTCAACACGCGGATACTTTGAGTTTATGTGAGATTTTGTACAAATGAATGAACACCTCGAATCTTATCACTAAGACCCCTATATATACTAATCCGACCCTAACGATCTTTCTATATCTAGACGCCACGTTTGCGACATGCAGATTATTTGAAATATTAGACTTCCATGTGTCTTCGAGATAAGATAAAAAAGACTTGAACTTCAAATTCTTCTATTCGCGGAGAGCACCAAAACTTCAACAAGATTATTCGAATTCAAACTTTAAATACTTGGAACTCTTCAAAAAACATAGGCTTCTTTACGTACTCGATCTTCGATCGTCCACTTAGAAATACTCATTCGAACCACTTAGTAATCAGTCAGTCGAAATCACCACCAAACATCTTTTCTCACAAATAACTTAGTCTTTGACTTTTGGTCTTTTACATCTTTTCTCACAAACTAAACTACAAGAAACTTTATAAAACCAAACACAAATACGAAATTATTAGCATTGTTCCATTGGGCGTGTGAATTTGTTTACCTCTGGTTTTGGTAAACAACGGTGGTATCTTTTAACAAAAATGTTTACTGGCAAGATCGACCATGGAATCTTAGTATAGTGCTTCATTTTTCGTGTGTTTTCACAAAGTATGTTCAAAAAGATTCGTTTGACTAGTGCCAAACGAGTTTATAAGCAATAAAGCAAGCCTTGCAAAATAAAACAAAAGGTGTTTTAAACTGTAAACTTAAATGAGATAACATCAAATTAGTTGAAAATAAGTTGATTAAAACATACATTTCCCTAGCTTGACTCATTTCGCTCGTTCGTTTGGGTACTCCGAGTGACTAGCATATATGAATGTGAAAGTTTGAATCTCTAACACTATGCACTAAGTGCTTTATTTATAATACACCAAAATAATTATTTTCTAGCGGACTTCGCTTCTTCGTACGCTACGTGTATCTTGTAACTCCTCTCGACGATCTCACGTTCTCCATTCATACTCTCGGACCCACGTCCTCCAAGTTTTCCTCCAAAACGCTTCGCTCGCTTGATGGATCTTTTGGGCCTTTTGACGTTTCTAGGCCCAATGACTTACGAAGTCCTCCATGGTCGACTGCTCCTGTTTTCAGGCCCCATCGCTTACTTGTGGAATCGCTCTAGATCGAGTGCATCAATAGTCGAATACTTTGTAGAATCTCTCTAAGTTTTAGGTCGACTACATCAGTAATCATGTCACATAAATCATCTTTTAAATCAGAAAATACACATATACTTTTAAATCAGAAAATTTTAATTCAAAAAAGTCAATACAATGTCAATTCTAAACCTCGATCACATATACTTTTAAATCAGAAAATTTGTGTTTTTTTAAAAAGAATAAAAAAAAAACATAAAATAAGGGTATAGGTCTTTATTGTTGGGCCTAGTAATGTTTTACTTTAAAAAGATGCAGCCAAGGAACATATATAATGAGAGCGAATGAAAAGAGACAAACACAATCGTTCCTATGAAACAATGGCGGCGGCAGCGGCATTACCAGAGGAATTATTGGAGTGCATCTTCAAATCTCTCAACGATGACAATCACACTCTCAAGCATCTCTCCGTCGTCTCCAAGCAATTCCTCGCCATCACAAACCGTGTCCGATTTTCCGTCACAATCAGCGACGAAACCATCCCTTTCCTTCCTCGCCTCTTCCACCGCTTCCCTAACCTCACCTCCCTCAACCTCACTATTCTATCCAAAACCCTAGAAGAAGTCGACGATACTCTAACCCTAATCTCCACTTTCCCTTTAGACATCAAATCCTTCAATGTCTCCAATACCAATTACAACAGATCCTTCCATCTCTCCCATACTAATCACATCAGACCCTTTCGTATTCCTGCAAAAGGATTGATAGCTTTGTCCAAAACTATGAAAAACTTGAAATGTCTCGCTTTTTACGGAATGAGTCATTTCAAATTGGAGGATTTATTCTTCATCGCTGATTATTTTCCTTTACTAGAAGAACTAAATCTCAGTGATCCCTTGTTTACTTGTAGCCAAGATTTTATGATGGATGATAATGATCAACTATTGGCCCTACCCAATCTCCGCAGGATTAATCTATTTGGTAATCACATCAATGACCAATTTATTAACTTTCTCCGCCGCAACTGCAAGCTTCTTCAAGAGATCATGATCATATGCTGAAGGGAGTTATCAATTTGGTTGTTCTTGCAAAGTTTTTGTTTTGTATGCATATTGTTTTTTTTTTTTATCAATTTCGCACATGTGATAATAATTCAGCACTGAAATCAATTTGGCACATGTGATAATAATTCACAGCAGTGAAACAGCGAGTGTTTTAATCTCTTTATTCTTATTTATTTCAACTACCATGTTACTTGCAAAGGTACTTTATCGATTATTTATTTATCTGATTTGAAATTATTTGTCTTTTTTATTTTTTGTATATTTTTTAAATCAGTTGCCTTGATGGCCTTACACTAAAACAATGGTGAAAGAGACAATGAGGCTATACCTTTGATAGGAACAATGGTGAAAGCAGCTTTGTCCAAAACAATGAAATTTTGACATCTCTCACTTGTTACATAATGATTCATATTCTTCTGATTGTTTGTAATTTCTCCAATCACCGATCTATTAACATTCTTTGCCAGAATTGCAAGCTTCTTCAAGAGGTCATAATCAACGACCGATTGATGGAAACAATGATAATACCAGTGATATACTCCATGTGGTCCTTAATATGTAGTCCAAATACATTGAAATATACTTCCTGTGGTCCTTAATATGTAGTCCAAATACATTGAAATATACTCCCTGTAGTCCTTTATATACCTTCTTCCAAATACCATCCGAAATCACTCATTTCCCGAAAAGGTGACGTAAACTTTCCTCCTCCGTACCACAAACAACGCAACCGATAAAACCGCTCTTCTAAATAATTGGTCTTTGGTGGGGATCCTATTAAAGATGAATCTCCACCTAAATATTGAAATATTAGAAGGGACTTTAATCTCCCAAAGGTGATTAATTGCTGCCACTGTGTTACTGTCAAAACACGATAACAGAATTATCTCTAAAAAGCTCATAGCAAGATTTGATGGAAAAAATACCTTCTTGTCCGAACCTCCAGCTGAAACTATTGGCGCCACTGTCCATTGAAATTCCCCGCCTCTCAAATATGTGGGTCTATCCAACTGCTGTCCTCCACCAAATCCACATCCCAGAATCCTGCTTCCTCAATGCTACAACCAGAACCGATGGCAAATTCGAAAACCTTTGCAATAGCCACTTGCAGCCTCTGATTTCCCAGCCAATTGGATGCAAGCTTTAATTGGACTTCATCTGCGAGATTTTGATGAATATTAGTTTATTTTGGTTTAGCATGTTTTGTGAGTAGAATTAAATGCAGACTAAAATATGCGAAAGATTGAGCTGTTGAAGTAGAATTAAATGCAGACTAAAATATGCGAAAGATTGAGTTGTTGAAGTAGAAATAAATGCAGACCTAAAATATGCGAAAGAGGTATCTATCTATCTTTCACTGAACATTGAGTGCATATCTATTGTGTTTCTAGACCCGTAGCAATTCAGCGTTGAAACATTGAGTGTTTTAATGACTTCATTCTTATCTATTTGTTGGGGTTTTGTTTAGCACGTTAAAACTTGCAAGGGTATATAAGCTGTCTACGTGTACTTTATCTGCACTACATGCTGCCACTACACAATCATCTGTAGAACTGTCAGCTGACTTTATTAGCATGTTTTAATGTGTATTTGAGCCTCACAATGTATTTCCCATAGTCTAGAATACAATGACAATATCTTTTGATCCACTTATTGTGAGTTCTTAACGAGCAAGAAGTGATTTGGAGCAACATTCATAGTAGTAGATACGACAATTATGTGACCAAGGTTCTTGTCACTGACAGAAGTGTTTTGCATAACACCGAATCAATTTGGTGGTGGGACTTAATTTGATCTGACAATTTTTTTATCGGCCATAACAGTTTTGCAGGTGATGTGACTTGTACTGTTAATAACGGGAAAGGCACTGATTTTTGGCAATCGTTGTGGCTGGCCAATCAACTGTTGATGGATGCATTTCCTGAAGTTTATGCTCAGGCCAGGAATCCGACCTGCTGTGTTGCGGAAGCAGGGTGGCAAAGCGATGCTGGCTGGTCCTAGAATGTCGTTGATCTAGTAGTAAATGTTAGGTGATCGAGTCGTTTGTGTGGGATTGTTTTATGCATACTCTTCAGGATGCGCTACTGGAGGGGTTAGGTCCCGATGGCTATAGTTGGAGAATGGAGGCTGATGGTAATTTCACTGCAAAATCCTGCTACAACCTGTTCAAAGACAACTCTGCAGTTGTTTCTCCTTTTCCTGTCAACACTGTGAAAGCGTTAAAACAACTATGGGAGATTAAAGCTCCATCTAACTTTTTTGGGTGGAGACTTATAATCAATAGAATTTCCACCAAAGACCAATTGATTTATCTAGGAGTATGGTTGGAAAGTACTTGTGTTTTTTGCCGTTCAAATGCCAAAACCGCAACCCACCTCATCGGCCTTTGTGAGATATCGGTTAGAGTTTGGAATAAGGTGTATGTGTGGAATGGTAGCAGTTTGGAGTTGTTGTTGGTGGAGTTGGTAGATTTTTTCTCCATTGCGATAAAGTGAAGAAGAATCGGAGAGGAAAATCATCGCCATCATTTGGCTGGCTAGAGTTTGGAGCATTTAGTTGGCGCGTAACGCGACCATTTTTAGGGAAGAGGCTTTCAATTTCAACGAGGTTTTGTCGGTGATAGTTTTTAGATCTCGGAAGTGGATGTTTCCCTCTTGTAATATAGTCGTTGGTTGTAATTTTTTTGTTTGGAATACTCTACATCTCCTTTGTTTTAGGGAGTAGCGGTTTTCTGTTTTGTTGTCTCGCACGGAGTATCCCTTATACTCCATTTTAATAGTATCATTGCCTATTAAAAAAAACTAACATAATAAACTTTGTTTTAAAATTGGTTTCAACACCTCAAAGTGATTTATTTGTCACGTGGTGATGTGGAATGGGAGGTGGAGTTTTCTTTTTGATCTTGTCTTCCGTACTAGAATTGTTTCTATGATATCATACAGGATGTCGGCGTCTGAATTAGCAGAGTTGAAGAAACGATTAGAAGGTTTGTTGAAAGAGAAATTGTGAGACCAAGTGTATTGCCTTGGGAAGCTCCGGTGTTGCTAGTGAAAAAGAAGGACTGTAGTATGAGTCTTAGTGTTGATTAGCGACAACTGAATAAATTGACAGTTAAAAACAAGTATGCACTCCAAATGATTGATGATTTGATGGATCAACTGGTAGGTGAGTATGTCTTCAGTGTAATTGAATTGAGGTCAGATTATCTTCAGATACGGGTGAAGAGTGGGGAGAGTTAGAGGACAACTTTCAGAACTCGGTGTAGGCATTAGGAATTTTTTTATCAACTTGTTGCGGTGTGTATTCCAGACATTCTAATTTCATCTAAGTCATAATATAGGCATGTTGAATTTTACAGGGTTAATTTCAACGTCGAAAGGGAGGAAACTTTATGTAAAGTTGTCAAGGTGTAAATTATAGTTTGGGAAGGTGATTTTTCTTGAGTATTCTATTTTGGGTGGTGGTAACCGTGGATCCATTTCAAGTAGATGTAGTTCTATATTAGGAGGCTCTGAAGTCGGTTACGGAGACCAAAAGCTTTTTTTGACATAAATGGTTATTATTGCAGTTTGTTTGAGACGAGGTCAAGAATGATATGTTGTTAATGAATGAGATATTGGTATTAGTAAGGATATGAAGATATTGGAGAAATACATAGAAGTGTAGATTATGCCAATTGAGATTGGTTAGAGTGGAGAGATCCTTGAGGAAAATAGAAAGTTAGATGGTAAAATAGATTGCGTGTTATTGATAGCATAATATCGACGAGTGTCGGGAAAATTTTGGAAATTTCTATCATCAACTGAGACGTGGAGATGGTGTTATTAAGATTGTGATTGGAATGAGATTCAAATGTGAGAATATACGAATCCTCGATGTTGTGAGATTTAAAAGAAAACTAAGAATGTATGAATGTGGTTGGAGCCCTCTACATGGATAAAGACTTCAATTAGAACTAAGTGAGTTATGATGTATTTGGTATGTTAGCATTTCTTGAGTTGAAAAATGTTTAACATTTGTGTGATGCTAAGTGAGTGTGAAGACGATTGTGTAATGTATTTGGGTGATGGTGTCTCGTCGACTAGGTTGAATGAGAAGGAGATTATGGAAGAATTTTTAAAATTCAAAGGAGATTATTGGGCCTTGGTGCTTTAGGTGACTTTGAGCACAAGTTCTAAAGGAACACTATTATAGTTTGGTAATGATGGTTTATGCTCCATTACAGTTGTCGACTACCTATTGACAAATTGAGGAACTGGTCACTCTTAATCTCTTGTTGATAGTAGACGGGATCGTATTGGATGGGATAGACTCGTCTTGCTAGGTTGATAGTGAGTGAAGTGAATTGACGTTTTATCGGGAAGATGGTTGTTCGCCATTTCGTTTGAACCTAATGAAAAAGTGGCTATGAAAGAGTTAAGACTTATTGGACAATTAAGATGCGCTGAGTTGTACGCGAGCTAACACCAAAGAGTGGAAGGTTGAGAATGTCAAAAGTGAACTATTACTTTCTGGTGGATACTAGAGAGAGTCGGAATCTAGATGTAAAACTTGTAGATCTGATAATTGATGAAAATCAAAATGAGGACAATGACTTTGAGATAGATGATCAGAGTGGCGTAGCGGAAGCATGACGTGACACAGTTCCTTATACGTGTATGACTTGTTAGGAGTCGAGGGTTAAATGTTAGATGCCTGAAGAGATGATGCAAGCCAGCGGGTATTCCAGAATGGAAGTGATAAGCGGATGGTTTGTATGTTTTTCGTGTTGGTGACATGTCAATATGTTGTATTGAATTTCATGTTCGATTGGTGAGGCGTAGCACTGTAATACTGGTGTGTGTGTCACCGTTGTCGATATTGTGGTTATGTTTATATGCTTAAGACGATATTGATGTGTAATGAAGTGATAGATTATGTATCCTAGAGTGATGGGGTAAAAAGTGAGATAAACCAGTGCATTTATAACCCGATAGCATTGTGGGATTATGATGGTT